CTTTCTTTGCTAAAATCTGCAGAATACATTACATTATCTTCATTTATCAATGGGTTTGAAATTCTTATTACACCTTGATCCTACACTACCCAAACACAAAACCAATGATATAACAATGGTGAAAACTTAACAGCAAGATTTTTTTTTTTTTAAACAGCAAGATTGAATCAATTTCCTGGGTATGCTATCTTAGCAAAGAGGAAGTAAATCGCAAGAAGTGTATCAACTGGCCTACAGACCTCCAAATGCTTAAAGCTACACCTCTAACAAAGCAAACCTCTCAACTTATTTATAAATGCATGTACTTCCAATACATGACACTATTTATCATCAATCACGGAATAAACAAACTTGAGAAGGGAAAATTACTCAGAAACAGTTGGAAGACATATATATATATATATATATATATATATATATATATATATATATATATATATATATATATATATATATATGATGCAAGCAGACACATACATACATCTTAATATGGATGGTTGGTTAATAAATTAAAGTTGCAATACTACCTCAGGAGCCATCCAGGAAAGCTTCCAACATCAGCAGAAAAATCACCTTCCAGACCCTCCCTACACAGCCCAAAGTCCCCAAGCTTCACACTCTTCTTGCTTTCTTGATAGAAAAATATTGTCTGGCAATTCCAATAAGATTAATTAGCTTGATGACTAATAAGCAAAATAGCTAGCAGCAAAAGTTAGCCCGCAGAAAATTACTTACTGGGCTTCAAGTCGCGATGAATGATGCCATTTTCATGTAAATATGTCATTGCGCGAGAGGATTTTGTAATGCATAACATCCTTAGACTTTCTATTTCCAGAAAGCAGATTATTTGCATAATCGAGTGAGTTCTTCTACTCTAGCATACCTACACATCAAATAAAAAACAAATTTCCGTTTGAGTTCAGTTGAAGGGTTAGTGATCTCAAAGAATAAAACAGAAATGAACAAAAAATAAGAAGAAAAAGAGTAAAGCTCTAGGAGAGTAAGCATGTTGACCTGTACAATTTAATCATTATCTGCTCTTTCAATTCCGCTATCAACAACAGTGGTTTATTTCATCATTTAGTTATTCTCTGTTAACTGCAAATTTTCAATCTCATTTAAAACACAGGATTTTGGTTTTCACGTGAGATTGAAGTACAATCATATACGCTACTGTCTGCATTTTCCACCCATGTCAAAAAAAGTCTCTTGGTTTGAAAGGTATTGCAACATTCCAATCTTTCTCCAACTCATTAGTGACATAAAACACCATCTGAGCTTGTTCAGCTAACACATATGGTTCATCATCTATACTATCTCCAAACATGTATTGTTCTAGAGAAGTTAACTTCGGTGAAGCATAATGATCTATTCTTGTCCCTCTTGGAGTAGTCGTATCAGCCCATATACACTTAAATAGTGTAACCACAAATTTGCTGTAGTAATTCAGTTCAATGATGTCAACCAATTTTCCATAATAAGCAACATCTCCAAAAACCCATGAGTATCACGACTACTTGCAACACTTGGAGTTCCAGCAATAACAATACTCCACTATTTTGAGACTTCAGTCCTTCTTCTCGGTTCACTGTTCGAAATCTTAAACCATTAATGTTATACGAAGAAAATCTTCTAGCATGAGTAAGTGGACCTCTTGCTAAAAACATAATGTCATCTGGCACTTGCTCTTGATTGTCATTATTTAGGATCTAAAACATAATGATATTGTATTAGTAAATTAATTTTGAAGTAAAATATTGATTTGAGGTGAAATTCTTACTCTCTTTGCAAACCAATTGGAAAAATCTTCTATTAACTATTTTTTGAATCTCCGCAGAAGATCTCGTCCGCCTTCTTAGTCGTCCTCTTCGTTAAAACTGTAAATTCCCTGTATGTGATAACTGTAAATTCCTGTATGTGATAACAACACATTTGTAACAATTGAAATAATATGTTATTTCTCACCAAAATACAAAAGTTTGGATGTTACTTACTCAACGTATTTGTCAACATGTTTGCAATTCATTAGCACATATCGATGTGCTTGTTGTTTCTCTATATCAGTTAGTTGGAAAGTTAAAACACTGCCTACTGGTCGACCAATTTGTTTGAAGATATTGCTTTGAATATTTTCAGCATAAAATGGCACATCATCAACACGCCTAGATCGGTTAAACCTTGTTTCAACCCCTTCTAAATACCTTGAGCAAAATGTAAGACATTCTTCAGCAATATAACCTTCAGCTATTGAACCTTCTGGGTTTGCTCGGTTGCGTACAAAAGACTTTAAATGTCCTAAGTACCTAAATATATAGAAATAAGACATTAGTAGATGCATTTATCGATAATCTAATAAAGAAAACTTTAAATATCCAAAATTTAGTCACCTCTCAATGCTGTACATCCATCGGTATGGAACAGGACCTCCAAGCTTAACCTCATCAACAAGGTGAACAACTAAATGCACCATTACTGTGAAAAATGATGGTGGAAATATCATTTCCATATGGCATAATGTTAGCACAAGTCGACTTTGAAGGTTATCAAGCTCTTTGACATTTAATACTCTACTACATATTTGTCTGAAAAAAGAACCCAATTCTACCAAAACCATACAAACTTGATCTGGTAATAGATTACGTATGGCAATTGGCAATAGATGTTCCATAAGAATGTGACAATCATGACTTTTCAATCCATGTATCTTGCGATTCTTCAAATCAACACATCTTGAAATATTACTTGAGTAACCATCTGGCAGTAATACACTCTTTAGTGTTGCAAGAAATACATCTTTTTCTATATTTGTCATTGTAAAACAACTTAGAGAGTATTTTCCATTTTCATTAGGCCAAAGGTCATCTCTTATACCCATTGACACTAAATCCATTCGAGCATTTAGATTATCTTTTGATCTTGCAGAGTCATTTAGCAAAGTAAACAACACATTGTCAAAAACATTTTTTTCAATATGCATGACATCAAGGTTGTGGCGCAACAAATTGAATTCCCAATAAGGGAGTTGGAAAAATATACTTCTCTTCTTCCATTGTTGCGTATCACCATCTTCAACTCTTCTCACTCGTGATCTTTTCCCCTTCTCAGTCATTTCTAGGTTTTTCCCAAATGTAATATTGATATCTGCAAGCTGATTCAAAACATCTGAACCTGACAACATCTTTGGCGGACTTCTCAAATCTTTGGTTCCATCAAATTTAGAGTTGTGATGTCTATACCGATGAGAAGACCCTAAGAACCGACGATGACCCATAAAACACCACTTCCTACTATGTGGAAGGCGATTTGGCAAAAAATCAAAGTTGCATGAGGGGCATGCTAGCCCTGTATGTGTATTCCACCCAGATAAGTTACCTAGCCCAGGAAAATCACTAATGGTCCACATTAGAGCTGCATGTAGTTTAAAAAACTGACCCTGTGAAGCATCAAATGTTTCTATTCCAAAACTCCACAACTCATTTAACTCTTTAATCAATGGTTGCATGTAAATATCTATATCATTCCCTGGCATCTTTTTCCCAGGAATAATCATAGACAAAATAAATGAGGTTTGTTTCATACATATCCATGGAGGCAAATTATAAGGAATTAAAATCACAGGCCAAGTGCTATGAGTAGAACTTTGATGTCCAAATGGATTGAAACCATCCGCAGCTAACCCAAGTCTAACATTTCGTGGGTCAGCAGCAAATTCTACATGGACTTCATTAAATCGCTTCCATGATTCAGAGTCTCTAGGATGTCGCATCAACCCATCTGTTACTATCCATAGCATGCCATCTCATATACTCAGCAGTTTTAGAAGACATAAACAACCGTTGCAACCTAGGCTTAAGAGGGAAGTAACGCAACACTTTAGAAGGTTTCTTTTTAAACTTGCTACCACAACGCACATCACCACCATTCTTCCCGTTTGGTTGTTTCCATCTTGAAGTATGACATACTTTGCATGTTTCTGCAGCTTTATCATCTCCCCAGTATAGCATGCAATCATTTGGACATGCATGAATGCTAACATAATTAAGACTAAGTCTATTGATGGTTTTTTTTGCCTCATAGAAAGAATCAGGAAGCCTTGCTTGTTCAAAAGCATCTTTTAACAATTCAAAAATCATAGACATTGCTTTATTGCTTATTCCACCCAAGCACTTGATGTGGTACAACTTCAACAAAAATGATAATTTTGAGTACTTGCTACACCCTTCATACAACTCTTGATTTCCATCTTTGAGCAACTCATAAAATATTTTACTGTCTTCACTATCCTCTCTAGGTAATACTCCATCCCCAAGTAGTGTTTGTTGTGATGTTGAAGGTTCATTTATACCATGTGAAATATGTGCAAAAGCATCATGAATGATATTTACTTCAGGATTCTCAATTTGCACATTAGTAGGCACAACATTAGGAGTGCTACTAAAAGTGTCTAAAGATCCCCCTTCACCATGCCAAATCCAATTAACATATCCAGGTACAATCCCATCACAAATTAAATGTTCTTTCACGTCAAATTTATATAACCAATACCTAAATTTACACTTTACACAAGGACACAATATTCTTCCTTCAATACATCTATGCTCAATAGCAAAATCAATTAATTTGTTTACCCCTTCTATATATTCCAAAGTATTTCGCTGCAAATTAACCCAAGATTTATCCATGCATAATCTCTATATGAAGATTTTTCAAACTTTAGTAGTTTAGCATACAAGATCTACAAAGAGAAAGAAAGATGAATTGTCATATGTATAGAATGATGAGACCACATATATGCATATAGAGAGAGAAAGCGGAGGATATATCGAGAGATTAATTTTAGGAATGCATCCTGCTTTCTAATGTGAATTGCTTTATATGTTGTGTTGTGTTGTTCCAACATTGAGATGTGGGTGAAAAGATGGAAATAACCCAAAAAATAAATTAACTTATAATTTAAGATGGTTAATGAAAACAGCCGATAAAATGGTTACTAGCATTTTATCTTATGATTTAAGTTTTGTTGTTAAAATAGCTGCGGTTAGTATAACTGCCACTAAATAAAGAACATGCAGAGAGAATTTACTTCAAAGAATCACAAATAATTAAAAGGAACAATTGCTGAAAAATGGACTACTAACTTGAACAAGGCAACAGATTCATGCTTATATATATATATAGAATTTTGATGCCAAAAAGGGAAGGAAACTCACTCAAGAATGTATTCAGGTTCATGCATAAAGTTTTTCAACCCTGCTTCAAACACATTACGTGCCACCTGCATGAATACACAAAAATTATAAAATACACAAAGGGGCCAAAACATAAAAAGAACCAAAAAAAAGTTCCAAACCTCATTTAAAACTTAGACACACTAGAATTGAGAATTTGAGGAATTAGTTCACCTTAGCATATATCCTTGTTAAGACAGAATTCAACAGTAATAAAAGAACAGATAATCTTACCATATAACCTTAGTCTGTAGAACAAACACAGATAACTAAAAATGAAAGAGATAAGAAGATAACTTGAGAAGTGGCAATAAAGATGCAATCTTGGATAGCTTTTGTATTCCAAGTCTATAGGCAGTAAAAAACATTAATAACCCCAAAGAAGGAATAATTAAACAGTAAGATTAACAACTATAAGTCTTGTTTAAATCACAATGATACCTGCACTCGAGGCGTTTTTTAATCCTTGCTAGAATAAGATGCAAAGAGTATTAACTGCAAAAGCACACGTACCACAAAAATCAACGCGTTAGCTATGTGTAAAACAGAATAGACATAATTCTTCATATAAGAAGTTTCCTTCTAAAGCAATCTAAGAAAACAATCACCAAGAAACAAAGCAAATTATTATTATTATTTTTACACCCCATGTATAACACTTGATAAGCAAAATATTAAAGTAACTGTAATGTTAGAAAATGACTTTTGTATTCGAACAACATATTAAATAGTTCATAGTCAGGTCATTTTAAGTAAGAATCAAACTCTACAAATTAAATTAAATATGACTCTAACCGAGTAGAGAGTAGTCTCTAGTATTAACCTATCAAAATTTCATTTTCAATCAAACTGAAAGCAGGGATGGGTCTAACATTTTTATCCAATAGAATGGCTCATATGTTTATGGTCTACCAAATTAGTATGATAAACAGAAAATGCAAGGCAAGTAGGGAGTTTATTTTCGGCTCATTTCAACTGAAAACATGTTTAATGCTGAACTTTTGTAAAGATAGGAATAGAAAGAGAACTCACCGAGGAATCCTTATGCTTGTGGCTTTTACTTTTATGCTTTTCTCCTGACTTCTCTGAAATGGTATCATCAGTCAGTATGACTATGACTTTCAAACCACACAGCACCAATTCATAGGAGAATAATTTAATTTAAGCATACAGATTATATAGAAGAAAAAACACAATTCCAACCAAATTAGCGAGATTGACACTCAAAATTCAAAAACAAATCGGCAGCTCACTGAAATTTCACGCAAAAGGATAGGAATTCATAGAAATTTGATTTACTACAATTCCTACAAAAAATATATAAAAATACATGCCAATATGATTGGCTTAAGCTGTTTTTGTAGAATTGTACAATTCATGCCAAATGCCAACTCTAAATTAAAATTGCAGTTCCTGCAACAAATACAAATGAAAATTTTCTTTATCAAGTACTTTCAAAGCTCTTGGAAAATGTGAGGAACAACACCCTGTAGACAATATGACAAACACCTTGAATGCAATTGCTACAAAAAAACTAATCTGTTAACAATCCTAAATTAGCATAAGAATTCAAGTTCCAATAGAGAGAATCAATCAAATTGCAAAAAACATTCAAAAAGAAATTTAAAATAATCCTCAAAAGATAAAAACTAAATTCATAAATTCTCACACACACTGTTTGAGAACAAAATCAGTGAGAAATTCACAGGAGTCACAAACCTTACAATGACGCCGTGGAGCAAATTAAACAAAGGAGACGCCGACAGGTCGGAGCAGACGGAGGGTCTCTGGCGAGTGGACTGGAATTTTTCCTCCCTTTGCTTCTGCTAAATTAGTGTTCGTTTGTTGTTCTTCTTCCTCGCAGCTGCTCTTCACTCAACGTTGAAAACCCAATATCCTCCGTAAATAATATATATCTATATTAGAAATTAGAAATTACTTTTTTTTAAAATATTTTAGCGGCGGTCATAACCGCCGCAAGTAAATGACACTAACAATTAATTATTTAGATTTCTATTTTTGCTACCAATTAGTTATTTAGGTTTCTTATATTAAATTAACGGCGGTTTCTAAACCGCCTCAAAATAGTCATTTAGAGGCGGTTATGTATAACCGCCACTAAATATATGTCGCTAAATAGTCAGTTTGTTGTAGTGAATCAAGCGCCACAAGTTGTCTTGGAAAGCAAGAAGAAGACTAGGGAGATTTGGGAAAATCGTCTGGTTAATTCTTGTACTCTTTTGATGATTTGTAATTCTTTATTTATATTTGCTATGTATAATTTAGTCATGCTTGGCTAAATTCTTTAGAGATTCTTGGGTAAAAGTGTTTATGAACCTATGTGCCTGAGCTCTCAGTTTCTTTAATATATTATTATTTGGGTTTAATACTTGTGTTGCAATCGTGATAATATTGTTTGATGCTTGTAATTAATGGCCATAGTTACTAGCTTCATAGCCATGTTTGTGTCACCAATGGGAGTTGGGGCATAAATTAGGGCACACACGATTGCACCTAATGGTTGGTCCTTGGGAAAGGGGAACTTATTAGGGGAAGTTTATTCTAGATTGTTGCCAATCGGGAGAGGGTAGTAATTAGGAATAATTGAATGCTGATCTTTGATCTTATTGGGTGATTAAGCCATGGGAGTGGAAATTCACTAGGAATAGAGATTACGGGAGTAATTCGATTCCACTTTGCATTCCCACACAAATCTTAATTCCAAACTAAATATTGCAAACGATAATTGGCACTAGGTGATTGAATACTTGAATCCCATGAATCTCAACTTCTCTCTAATTGTTTTCAAAATCCTGAACCTCTGTTTTATTTTATTTATTTTATGCCAATCAATCATCTAAGTAATTGTTAGGATTAGCTCTAATGAATAAGTTAGTAACTAGTGCTTGATACAACCGCTTCCCTGTGGATCGATAACTCGTACTCCGAGAATTATTTGTTTGCAAATATAGTACGCATCAGAAACGCAGTTTTCACATCCATTTGTTGCAACTAAAGATTAAAGTGTGCAACTAAAGCCAGAATGATTCGAAGGGAATCTTTCTTTGATACAGGAGAAAAGGTCTCCTTGTAATCAATTCATTCTTTTTGAGTAAATCCTTTAGCAATGAGTCTGGCCTTGTACCTCTCAATGTTACCTAATGAGTCTCTTTTGGTTTTAAATACCCATTTATAGCCAATCGGCTTGGCCCCATTAGGTAACTCAACAAGGTTCCAAACTCCATTACTCTTCATGGAATTCATTTCATCTTTCATGGCTTCTAACCACAAATCGGACTGT